TGTCTTCTGACCTTTGGTGTAGAGCTTAGATAGAGTTATTACCTTAGCAACAGGTCCAGATCTATGAAGTTCGGATTCCTCCAGGTGGGTGTTGCTTGGATCTGGTTGCTGTGCTCCACTTCTTTCTGCTGCAGGCATTAGAGTTGAACCCTTTGTGTCTCTCTGGGAAGATGTTCTGCTCCTGAATCAGCTTGGTGGGTCCTGCCTCTAGCCTCTTTGCAGGGAGTTCTGCTGAAGGGTTTCATGCTGGGCCTGCGCTCTGGGCCTATTCTGGATCCCGTGGCCTCGGTGGTCTCACTCACTGGCCGGGCCTGCGCTCTGGGTGTCTATTTTACTTTTTCTGGGGGGGGGAATATTCAATTTATGTTTTCAGAAGTCACTGAACATCACAATGTAAAAAACACTGTCCTATAGAACTTAAATGTTGGTTTCTTTTGACCACTAGGTATGGACCATTCATCAAACCCCAATACAACAACAGAGCCTGAAGCTGCCGCCCCACCATACCTAGGTTGGTACAGTCTTTACCTGGTTCTTCTTCTTCATAGCTTTTCCTCTCTACAATGTCCCTTTTATAAGCCAGGGGAGCAGAGCCTTTGTGCTCTATAACTTCAGGGCATCGTCCTCCAAGAATGCATTGGGCACTGCCTCCTCTTGCAGGGGATCCCATGTCACATGCTAAGAATGATCGCTGTATTCCTACAGTCGATGACCTTACATGCTTGCATCCCTCCAGGGTGAGAGAGTTATCATCCATTCTCTACCACCCATATCACACAGTAGGGCACAAAATGTATGAGCCAAAAAAGTTCTTGCTCATCATCTAGACTTCTTAAAGGATCTCTCAGCTCACCTAAAGAATACCTGAACACTGGGAATGCTTAGCTGTTGCCAAATGAACTTGGCCATGAGCTTGGGAGCTTGGCCACTTAGAAAAAAATATATATCAGTTAGGATTGAATTAATATCTCCTGAGTGGTACTTGAGGTGACCAAAATTGCTCATAGATTTACAAATTGGTAAACATTTAAAATTTTCTTTCATTTTTAAAGAGAGTACAAAATAGCATTAGAACAGAAAAAATTAGGAGTGATGCATAATTTTACTTAACAAAGTAATATGAATTTTACTGTATTTGTTGTAATACATAGTGTTGTCTTCCAACCAGTTATTCATATTACCAGATAAAGGCATATAAAATTGAAAGTAGAAAGAAAACAGAAAGAAGTGTATAAGAATTATGAAGAGAAAAAATACAAACAGTTGAAAAAAGGAGACAAAAGAAGTTAAGTACTATCTGGTCCTTTCCATAGACCAGCAGAAATGCACAGTACAGTTGTCCAAACCATCCTGCTTACATATATAGATATATCTCTTTCCCCCACTCCCTCTCCGATCCTTCTTACTCAACTCAATAACTCTTTCTTTTTGAATAAATTAATTCCCTTTTCCCAGTACAAATTGTTAAACATTTGTAGAATCATCCTTTTACTTTTTATTATTTGAAAAATGCAGAAACAACCAAACAAGTGATTGGAAGAGAATTCAGGGAACATTTGACAATGAACAGTTCCTCACTCCACAGATATTTGATAGGAGAGCAGTAAATCCAGTATTTGACAACATGGAGAACAAACCAAATGATGGTTAGTGACTGCCTCTGGCAGAGGCGATGTGTTTACAGGGCTGCCCTCTTCATCCCGACTACAGCACCAACTGCTCTTCACTGTCAGTTGTACAAAAGACAATGTTATATTTCCAACATTAAGATTGATTCTACATTGAACCATTTGGGATGAGTGAATAAAAATGATGTGTTAATTATTTAATCACTTTGGATAGTCTAGTCACAAACTACTGAAACTGACTGCAGTAATGAAGTGGCCATACATGTGTATATCAAAGTATATGTATGTACGTATGAGATACATGTAGAAATGTATGAGAAGCAACAGACTTGTTGACAAATATTGACAAGAATAGAAAGTGTGAGGGAGCCCATGTCTGAGTTTTACTAGATCTCAACATTTCCTCCTAATTATTTGAGATGTAGTTTAAAAGGAAACATTGCATAACTTGATTACTGCCCTGGGAGTTAGGTGCAAACAGGGCTGGCTGCCTTAGTGCCTTGTGGCAACTTAATGCTACCAAGAACCTAGACAGAGCCACCAAAGGCCTAGATGGAAAGCAAAATGCACCACCATTGCACTCATTGCCATGTTCCTGTATGAACACATCTGGATTGCTGCTAAAGGAAAAAGAAGAAGCAGCTTACAAGTGGTTTTCTAGGCACTTGGAGAGCTGCAGTGTCCAGCCATGAATATGTTCTCAGGGATCTCATACTTTTCATTCCCACTGCGGGATGGGATAGCCATGTCTGGATCAATGTGGCAGAAGATAAAATGGAGAAGTCAGCCAAACATTGTAGGGCAGAATGGGCAGAAGTCTATGCTTCTTCTTGACCAGCCATTCTCTCTGGACTGTTGTCTCATGGGATGGCATAGAGGTGGCCAGCAGTAAACAAGGCCTCTATTTTGCATTCACAGGTCAGGCATTATTGACACCTGTGTCCACCACAGAGCCTGCTGCGCTTCCCCTGAAAGTCACTCCAGCAGGTCAGTTGGCATTTGTTCTGGGGGTGGGGAGTGAAGAAAGAATACCACGTGCCCAGCACTGAGCTGGCATATCCCATACTTGAAGCCACACCAAGGAGTGCCAGCTAAAGCTCTGTGGAAACTACTTACCTCTTGAGGAGCTGAGTAAGGAATTGCATATTTGACTGTAGTCTTTGGGCTATGTATATTTTCAAACCTTCTTCTTTCCCAAGCTGGGTTTATGGATGACTTACTTAGCAGGGATGCTTATGATTGTCCTTGGGACAGGTGATGGGTTATCTGCAAGCATAGCAGTAACAGATCCTATGACCCTGCAACCCACACCTGCTCACCTGGCAGGTAAGTCCTTAGGAAAATGGGAAAAGGAACCATTATTAATGGAATGAAAATGTGACCAAAAGACAATCAGATACTATCAAATAACTAACACTTCATTTTATGATCACAAAGACCTACAAGTAAAGGTATCCAGCTCTCACCCTCACTTTTTAACATATGGATCACAGAAAATTGATGATAGAATTAATTGGCCAGAAAGTGATAAAGTTGAGACTTAAGCTCATATCTCTCAAATGCTAGGCTTCTACTTGAACAATGCTGTTTTGGAGACTGTATTTGAGATAAACTTGTAGCAGACCTAATTTCTCAGACCCAAATGCACCAAGATCTTAATTAGGAGACTGCAAATTTGATATGTTTTGGACTTTGTGTGTGTTGTCTTATTTTTCTGAAAATTTCTAGAGCCTTTCTTAGTTCTTTGTATTTTGAGCTTCATGAGCTTCATTTACTCTGTTCTTAGTTTTTAATACATTATCCTGCTTGCAGTTAAGATTTTAGTCCAGAGGTACATATCCTTCAGTTCTTACAAATTTTTCTTGAGTTATTTAATAATTTCCTCCTTACTAGTTCTGCTCATTTTCTTAGAAATTCTTTAAGTAGATGTTGGATTTCCTATGCTGATATGCTAAATTTTATGAGTTATTTTTAATTTTGCATCTTTAAAATTTTTCCCTGTACTCACTTGTTTGTCAACAGTGTCTTTTATTAATTTTTTAAAGTTTCAATCATTTTATTTCTCAATTTTAAAAGCACTTTCCTGTCTGAGCTTCTCTTTCCCTTAGCTGCTTGCGGTATCTTCTCTAACTTTCTTGGTATCTGTATTACTGCTTTCTACTCAAAACTTTCCTCTGATCCTTTTGCTGTTTCTGTTTCTCTTCTCTGCTTTTCTATCACTTTTCTTATGTTTCTTAAGATAGAAGTATTTCTCAAAGATGTGGGCATTTCAAGGTGTCTGTCTGCTTTTAATAAAGAGGCACTAAGGAGCTGATGGGAGGGAGGTAGTATGCTTGGCTCCAACAGCAGAGTGGGAAATTGCATGTAGCGCATTTGAATCTCAGTCTAGTCTCAGCTTGCCTGATGTCTGCAAGAATGAATCTTTGGGAATTCGTTTCTCCAGAAAATAAATTTCTTATCTGTAAGTAGGGACAAGTCAGAAATTATTTTATCTGTTCTCAACCAGTATCTCCTTTCATAGCATGATAATGATGGGCTGGAATTGTGAGCTGGATAAGTTATAATAATTAGTGTTCCCAGTTTTGAAATGTGATTTTACCCAAAAATGCTATTAAAACCAGATTGGTTATACTCTTATTATGGAAATGATGTGTCCATAAAGCTGTGAAGATAATGTATTTTAGACACCCATGGTTTTATATAATTTAGCCATTTGCACATCATATTTTAGTCCATTGTATAAATTATGGTACCTGATTTATTTCTCAATAGCAAAATCAAGTCTCTTGTCCTGAAATACAATGTAAAAATTGGTTAAAATTTAAATTTCCGTTAGAATGTTTGCATTCAAGTTCAAGAAGGCTGTATAGAAGTATTTAACCTTGGGAAAATTATTTGAACTGCTTGAGTCATTGTTCTCCATCAGCATAAAGACTGAAGTTTGTTGTGAAGGTCAATCAAGATCAAATCTTGTGAAGCATGCGTTGATGCTTGTAGTGTAGTTATATTCATGAAGCATCGTGACAATTATATCATCGATAGCATCATCATCACAACTTATGTATCATATTTAAGTTAGCTAATTCCTGGCTACTTAGAACTAAAAATTCACATTCTCTATGTTGGTGGACATGTATATCCATTTTTATAGGCATAAAACTCTATAAAAGTTAGGGATGCTACGTGCCCAGTGAGTGCAGAAGTTATATCCGGCTAGTATACTCATGAGAGTTTATTGTTTTCTGCTTGTTTCTTCCAACTTTTCCTGAGGAACATGTGTCTCTTCTGTAATATGGTCCACAATTTTAGAAATGATGGCCACATTTGTGTCTATGTGGGAAAGATGGCCATGGTCGTGTTTGTCCCCAGATGTAGAGTTGGAAGCAAAACCAAAATCTTGCCAAACACTTTTGTTGTGAACCAAATTGTTCGCCAACAAAAGTGTTTCTCAACCAAGGCACTACTGTATAAAATGATAAGGTCACCAACTCAAAAAGAGAGTGAGAGGACCAGCGATATAGCTCAATGGCACAAGTGCCTGCCTGACAACTGTAAGGTCCTGAGTTTCATTCTTGACACCAAAAAATGAAGCCGGGGAAATGGCTCAGTGGAACAAGTGCTTCCCTGGCAAGCGCAAGGGCCTGAGTTCAATCCCCGGTTCCGCAAAAAAAAAAAAAAAAAAAAAAGCCTGATACCAAAAAATATGAGTAAGCAAGAAGTATGCAATTATTAGAGGCACAGCTTGGCCTCTTCTGGTCTCAGAAACAGTTGGAGAGGACTTGCCCATGATGTACCATGAAGGCAAGGGAAGGTGTTGTCTAGCAGGGGCTCAGAAAATGACACTCACCCTTATCTTTACCCACTTTCCTGCAGCTGGAGGGAGTCTCTTCACACCTTCCATCTGGCCTGCAGCTCCACAGACCACACCCTTACCTATAGGCAGGACCCCTCCCCCTAGCTCTATTCCCTAGGGAGGTCCATCTTCCTTTCCCATGGGCAATCCTGTTACCCAACATCCCATGCCTCTCATATGTGTCTTTTCCCAATAAGGTGAAAAAAAAAAAGCCCCAGAGACACAGACTAGGGGAAGTGTCCAGAATATCTGAGAAAACCTGCTTCATGGTTCTGTCCACAAATCCATTGCTGTCAAAACCCCCAAACGGTCTGGTTAGGAGAGAGCAAACTTTGCTAGTGCAAGCCAGTATCTTGGGTCCTGTCTTAGCTACTCTCCTCTCATTGCTGGGACAAATATCTGAGGGAAATTAGAGAAGGAAAGGTTTAGCTCATAATAACTGGAGATTTCAGTCCATACTCAGCTGGCTCCAAAGCAGAGCCGGTGCATGGCAGAGGGCAACCTTTCAGGGCGGTGTCAAAGAGCAAGAGCACAAAGGAGGAGTAGCAGCAACTTAAGCAGCTAACTTCTCTTCCCTCCTTACAGGGAAATGCAAATAACCTGCCCCAGGGCAAGTGCAGAATCCACACCCATAATAATCACACACTCTAGAAGCTGCCCCAGGACTCCTTGAGGCTTTGTGGGGACACGGATACACAAACCATAATGGGTCCCCAAACAAGTTGTTCCTCAGTAGCTGGGGCCTCTTTAAACCAATCTAACGTCACAAGGCAAATGTTCACCCACAAGAGTATTACCTTAAACAGCCAATGAAATGATGCAGGCAGAAAGGTCAGGAAGGGGTCTTACTACACTGAAGCATTTTCCAAATGTACATCTGAGCGGGATCCTGAACAGACCCGGAGCGCAGGCCCGGCGAGTGAGTGAGACGACCCAGGCCGCGGGATCCTGAACAGACCCGGAGCGCAGGCCCGGGAGTGAGTGAGACGACCCAGGCCGCGGGATCCTGAACAGACCCAGAGCGCAGGCCGGCTAGTGAGTGAGACTTCCCGGGCCGAGGGATCCTCTTTTTACCCAGGCTGCAGGCCCAGCAGGGAACCCTTCAGCAGAACTCCCTGCAAGGAGCCTAGAGGCAAGACCCACACAGCTGATTCAGGAGCAGAACGTCTTTCCAGAGAGACACAAAGGGTTCAACTCTAACACCTGCAGCAGAAAGAAGTGGAGCACAGCAGCCAGAACCAAACAACACCCACCTAGAGGAATCCGAATTTCATAGATCCGGACCTGTTGCTAAGGTAATAACTCTATCTAAGCTCTACACCAAAGGTCAGAAGACAGGTATACAAAATGACAAA